GTCACAAGATGTAATGAACATCATTAATATTGCTGGCATGCATTTAGGTCGCTGGTTCCAAATAGTCTAATCTTCTTTTAATATTAGCTATAGTTTGCGAATTTCTGCAAATTTAGGAACAATTTCGGTAGCTCGAATAGAAAAGCCATTATTTTCCATCATCGTGGAAAAATTTTGTTTATGCAAATGAGTATGGAAACACTGAAAAGGCACAACTTCTAGAAACAGTAATTAGTTCACTTATGTTTATGCATACGATATAAAAATTGCAAATATAGGAAAATGACAAAAAATTTTGTTTAACATTTTTTTATTTTAAAATAATTTGTTTATAATCTGAACTATTTTCATCATATTATTATCATAAATCAGTAACGGTAAGTCTCGCCTTCAATTTGGTAATTATTACGTACTGATCGAGTAACATTTACCAAAGTTATATCGAAAAACTTCCATCTCCAGTTTTTTTCTAAAAAAAATCTCTTCATTTGTAGAAACAACTTTTAATTAAAAGAACCGGATTACAGAAAAGTGTGCCAAGGAGTGACTTTTTTCGTTCAAGCTGAATGCAATGCAATATCGTCCATTTGGAGAGTCATCAAAAGGATTTCCCAGGATATGTGAAGGATTATTGTATTTACCTACAGTCACTTTTTCACATAATGGAATTAACTAAAATCTTTATATCTAAACACTTTTTGCACGTCCCCTACTTTCATATAACGGCAAATTTAGAAACCGCAAAAATGTGCTTCTTCGGTGACTAATGAAACCATTCCGCTCCGATTTTCAAGACTGCATAAATGGACTTAAAATGGGAATTTCTTACCCTAATTGTATTTTGTTAATGTATGTAAATACTAATTTGCTTGAAACTACTATTAACTTATCAACATGTTTGACTACATTCAGGACGATCTTGAAAACTGACCAAATCGGCGTGACCAAGTCCATGGTCCTTTTAAGATTATATAAACATTCGAAAACTTTAAAACGTTTGAAATAAATGTCGTCTCACTTTTTCGTATTTTTCACTTGGTTGCTGAAGTAATGAAGAATTGAAAATTCATAAGGGAAAATTATACTTTTGTAAGTCATATCTTAATATTTTAAAAACTTGTGGACTTATTGAAAAAAGATAAATGGACGTGAGGTAGTAAATTTAATACCCCTTAATTTGATATATCATCCTGTTTATAGCAATTAACGCATTCCATAGATATTACAAGCCAAAGTTTCATTTTCGAAAATTTTTTTTGAAAATTCATAAGGGAAAATTATACTTTTGTAAGTCTTATCTTAATATTTTAAAAACTTGCAGACTTATTGAAAAAAGATAAATGGACGTGAGGAAGTAAATTTAATACCCCTTAATTTGATATATCATCCTGTTTATAGCAATTAACGCATTCCATAGATATTACAAGCCAAAGTTTCATTTTCGAAAATTTTTTTTGAAAATTCATAAGGGAAAATTATACTTTTGTAAGTCTTATCTTAATATTTTAAAAACTTGCAGACTTATTGAAAAAAGATAAATGGACGTGAGGTAGTAAATTTAATACCCCTTAATTTGATATATCATCCTGTTTATAGCAATTAACGCATTCCATAGATATTACAAGCCAAAGTTTCATTTTCGAAATTCATAGACTTTGATTCAATTGCGCGGGCTAAATATAAGTTTTAAATTAATCTTTCGTGGCCAATAATAATTGGCTTAGATCTAAGACATCATAATATTACTATTACACTACGATCAAATTTCTTTTATTTTCCCCCATACAAAATCGACCCAGCCTAAAGTACATGCTTTTTCAACCCTCCTAAATATAGTTAAGAAATAAACAAATCTCTTGCGTCTGATATTATAATACATACATACATATTCCACGTGTCGGATGAATTAAGTTAAATTTGATTTTTTAAGTATGTGACCACGCTCCTAAATACAGTTCAGAAATAAAGCCTTTCTAAACCCATTTCATTTGATACCCATATTTTTAATAATTGCTTTAACTTATTAAATAATTTGAGTTTTCCTTTTTAAACAGGTGGCAACCCTCTTCAATATTCACCTTCGTTTCATGTCATATTTTAATATTTCATTTAGCTTATGCTTACTTTAATTAAATTCAAATTTTAAAACATATGGCAACCCTATTCAAAATATTTTAAAACCAAAACCTCGTTAAACCTTTTTCGTGACGCTTTTGAAGACGGTGTTCGATATGTACACAGATTACTAAAGTAAAGCCAGATGCACAATAACTACAATCAATATATGTACGCATGTATGTATTTACATACATACGCTGCGATTAAGTTATAAATATAGCGCCATCTGTTA